TGAGGTCTGTGTTCTAAACATTATTGTTCATTGCACTCAACCTAACCAAAAAGTTTATTCTCAGTAATTTAAATCGATCTAACTAAATTTAGCTCCGTCTTGTAATTTGAATTTTGTAACACAAGAAAGCTATAATGTGAAACATTTAAGAGAAAGCTTTTGGATTACTTCCCACTTAATTATTCAAATTGCCATCCTTGTTAATTAACCAATCGCTGTAGCTTTCACAATAGCACACAAACTACAGGCAATCTGCATTGTTTCGCGAGCATAATCATTTACTCTATTTACGCATTGGTGTCAATTATTCTGCGAATTATTAGTTTTATTGTTAATCAAGGAAGATAAAGGGGAAAAAGTTGAAAGTAATGATAGATTTAAAGGTAATGTTTCAGCCTCCTCTGTTTCCAGCTCACCCGCCGCCACTGGCTAGCACACTAGCAAACATACCAGTTGAGTTGCTGGTTAGATCATTAACCCACTAGCTAGTGACCTACTGATGTCACGTACTGATGTTTTCCACTTACAACAAGATTACATTCTGTGGAACTACAAGAATATGAAATACAATGAGGACCAAATATGATGAAATCCACTATTTCATCAAGAGCAAACACCTCTTGTTTTCCAGCCTAATTTCAAAAATCCAAAGCAAGGTCAAATTCCATCATTTTCACAAGTGTTTCAAGTACTCACAAACCACCATTATATTAGTCCACAAATTTTCCACAGACAGCGTGACAAGGATTGTATCAAATTTACACATATTTTATGTCTCCAATAATTGAATCATGTCACTGGCCTTTTTTAACAAAAGACAGCAAGTCTTTAGCAATAGGTTTCATTATATGGTCAACAAATCCAGACAACTCGATGTGGCAAATTGATAGCTGCTATAATGGGGCACAAGGGGATCTGCGTGATTAAAACCTTGTTGAAATTTGCAGAAACAACCATGAAGAATCAGCTTATATTCACCAAACTTCAGGAGGGATCATACAGGTGGTAACAATGCTATATACTGTGTGGTTACAGTTTCACATAGGATTGACCACCAGTTTTGTATGTACAGTATATAAGAATGAATTCACAAATTGTTCTACCAACAACATTTACTAAAGATAATGACATGTTCTTGTCAAAGAAAGATGAATGAAATTGCTTTGTTTTTCCAGAAGTGCAGTCAGCAGTAGAAATTACTGTAGATACTCAGTGGAATTGTGTAGACCTGTGGTGTCTTTTAATATGTCTGTATAGCACAGAGGGCAGTGTGGGTGACATGGGGAAAATTAATATCTGTGGCAACTGGATTTTTACCTGCAGGCAAGTGCTAAATAACATAATAAACAAGGTAAAGGAAAATGCCTGACATCCTTTGCAGATGCTAGAGACTGCATAATACATCAAAGCAGAGTCAAGTTTGCTGCAGTGGTTTGTATGTCGTGCATTCAGAAACAAAGCAGGACCCCACAGATAGTTATGTGGAAGTGAACGATTTCAGATTAGATGCCCAGAAGATGGTTTAGGGATAAGACTTACACCAAGGATTTGGAATTTTTTACAACAATGCATTGCAACAATTGCAAGAACTTGATTCTACATCATCTGAGGATGCTTGACAGTTTGAATGTTGAGTTTAACCCTCCTATTGTCCTGGGGTCATAATGACCCGAAATCATATTCAAACCTAAGAAAATGATATAAAACATTAATCTAAGTACATGGCCTCCTATGTAGCTTCCTAAAATGACCCCAAAAATGGAAATTTGAGTTTTTTTAAAAATCATTTTCAGTGCAGCTGCCACAAAAAAGTAACACCTATTGTCTTAGGGTCAATATGACCCGAGATAACTTTTGATGTTGAACTATCTTTATGAGCAGCTCTATCTAACTCAGAGTGCCACAAACTCATCCTCATACTCATAGGCTTGATCATTTTAATGTTAATAATGATTTTTGGAGTTGGTTAAAGCATTTGTATCCCTTTCAGATAGTTTAAGTCTAAAATCAGAACTTAAGACCTTTGTTAAAATATCTAATGTCTCTCTTACCAGCCTCAAGCAACTGAATTAGAAATTACTGATCATTTGGCTATCATATTAACTACCAGACATGTATTTAAAATTTGTTAGTCTCAATGTAGTCTGTGAGGTAATTACTGACTCTCTTCTTTGGAATATGTAGTATCTTGTAGACTGTCCAGTAAAATCAGGGTAATTCTCTCACTGATATCATGGACAAAATGGTACTCACTCGCTACCCTCTGTGCTTATGAAGAAGGGTAAAATACTTTCCATTTGTAAGTCTATCAATTACCCAAACTCTTTTAAGTGACTGCCTGTAAATCAGCCAAAACCAATTTTTATTCATCCCTTATTTAGAAGGGTATTGGCCTGCCAGGTCTCTTTTTTCAAATTTTGCAGTCCTCTTGACCTAGTTAGGCCACCTGCACTGCCTGTCTGCAATTGAGCAAAACAATATTTTCAAAAACAGTCTTCAGTGAAAACATGCATTTTTGTGTATGATTATTCATAGAGCAAGCTGAAGGAGATGAAATGTGAGTTCCCTCTATCCCAGCATTCATGGATACTGTGCCATTTTTCTAAAGTCTCCCCCTCCAGCATAGAAGAGCTGGTTCTCAAAGCCATATCCACAATCCATGGACTTGACCCAGTCTCAGTCTGCTTTATCACATCTAGTGTCTGTACTCAAGGCCATTTTATCATTAATGCCATCAAAGGCTCACCAAAGTCTAGAGAGGTACCTTTATCATTTAAAGTGGCTGCATTCAACCACATGTTAAAAACAAATTAATCTTCTTGACCCTGAAATCCTAACTTTAGGCCTGTTTCTCACCTGCGCTATCGCTTTGAAATTCTTAAGCGGACCTTTGCTGCTTAGCTCTGTACAGCCATTTCTTATACAATCAGCTGTATGACTTGGTTCAGTCCAGTCTGAGATCCAGGCACAGCACAGATACATGTGATGATGACGATATTGTTACTATTACTGACACACACCTTTATCATTCTGGTTCTGCTTTTTGCACATGATATCACTGGCCACAAAATACTTCTCTCCCATCTAAACATTGCTGGAGATGTGTCAGGTAGTGCTCAGGTAGTGGTCGTCTCATTGAGGCTCCTCTGTATGTGTCAGGTAGTCTGCTATTATGTATAAAACAAATAAGTTTGCCATTTTCATTGTTTTTGGAGTAGAATGGGGTTAAATTTGCCACTACTCCTGTTTTAGTCTTTGTCCCACTGGGCTTTGTTGTGGGACCATTTTTTGATGACATTGCATCAATTACCAGTGCTACAAATATGGCATGCATTGCGCTCCCATTGTTCCACCTCTTCTTCTGTTCAGTAAGACACTACAAACTGAGGACACGTTAGCTGGAATCAAAGAGAAAAGCAGATATGCTTCTGAAATATAGTAGCAGCAACTGTTAAGAAATTGTATGTAACAATTTTTAAGTCTGTCTGCATACAGCATTGATAAATCTTGCCTAAACATTACATAAATATAACAACACAGAACATTCGTAAAGCTTTATGTTTGAAATAACACTTTGTAGTTGTTATGATACTCATTAAATAAGACATTCATGAATGCATCATAGGCAGTCGATACAGCTTCCTAACATCAATATGTTAAACCTTTCATTGTGTCATAAACTTGGGTACATGCTTTGACATAAGAGGATTGCTGATCCAGGCATTTCATACATATCATGCATACATAAGACACTCATGATGACATGATATGTTACATGTTAAAATATAAATTGTGAAATGTAAAAAAAAATATATATATGCACTGATTGGTGGCATGTTCCATAGAAGCCAACTAAGAATTATTAAGAATCAAACAAGTCCATCCAAACCTTTCACTTCCCTTGCATTTGTCGCCATTACTGGCTATTTTGTCCAGATAGGAAAGAAAAGGTAATGTAAATAGTTCAGACATTTTAATGATTATGTACATATGTCTGCTTCTTGTGTGAAAGCAATTTTCTGTAGGACTTATGTTGACACAATGACCCTACTCGAGCCTTGAACAGTACTGGCAGTGAAAAAAAATAGCAAGGTGAGTGTCTTCATTGCCTGAAATGACAACAGGATATTGCTTTGGGAGGTGACTGTGACACGAGAGCAGACAGGATAGTGCTGGATTTTCTGTGTGGCCTATACTGTACACAGAAGGATTGAGATTTTGGAGGTGGTGGAATACTTTCTAAGTGTGCTGCAGTGTCACAGTGGTATATGTTGTATCATAGTCTGAAAAAAATTAGTTGTTGACTGGTTAGTACACTGTAACTTATTTTACATGTGGTAAATACCATGTAAAACTCAAAGAAAACATCCCAACAACACAAAGTTCCTACTACTTCCTTTTTGCTCATGGTATGGGCAAAATCAGTTCCTCAAACACTTACTTATTACAGTCATTTATCTTTTAAATCTATCTGAAAATATGGAAGATATGGAGAGGGAAGAAAGAGACATTAGAGCCAAGGTAACTGCATCCAGTAAAATTTATTAGATTTAGCTGAGTGCAAAGTCCTTTTAGTTTTAGTTTGTCCTTACTCTTTACTAGCATTTGTAAGAAAGCATTGCTTTTTTGTTAAATACAGAGCATATTAACACTTGAAATTCTCATTAACTGAGATGTTGAGTATACAATAGAGAAAAGGATCGCTTGTTTCATTTGGATAAGGACAAAGTACAAAGAGGAAGGACTGAATAGCCTTGACAAGTATAATAACATTGAGAGAATAACATTTTGAGAAAAAAATGAGACAAAAGGTTAACCCTAACACTAACCCCAATCCTTAAAATGCAGAAAATAATAAGCAGAGAACAGAAAAGCTGCATACAGAACAAGCAGAGTAGCTGATAGAGACAAGTCTTTCAAATAATTATTATTACTATAATTATTACGAGCATTATTAGCATTATTATTAGCATTATTATTATTAATTTTACTTCCGGGCCTCCCATGTAGCTCAGTGGTTAAGGCATTCGCTTTGAACACAAGCTAAGCTGTACAATGTAGGTTCAATCCCAGCCGTGTCATTTGTCTACAATGGTCGCAAGCCATCCGGAACAAATTGGCTTCACTCTGCCAAGGATAGGGGTAAGTAGATTGGCCAAGGCTTCTTTGTGTCATGGCTCTCAAGGATCCTGTGATTCATCAGGCAAGTTGCTTGGATGACATTAGTGGAGCAGCACCTGTCCTCCAATGAGTGCCCACTCCACTAGAGTGCATTATGTGACTATAGTGCACAAAATTGCCATTGGCTTTTTGCAAGTGTATCAGATGGCTTGTCTTCCTTTCCACAGCGTTCGTCTTCCTTCAGCACTTCAGAGTCATATCACCAGGTAGGAAAGTAACCACAGCAACAACACAAGCGCCTCTTGGCTGGACTTGAACCTCTTATCCCAACCGTTCTGCCATAGCAGTGGCATTGTCAGGTTTGTCAGCTGCTGATTTGAACTTACAATATACAGTGGTGTCTACGAGAGGATTACAGCACATTTCAGCCAAAGAAATTGCTAGTCGGATAGAGGCGTTGTAGTCTCTCAGTCCAATTCCTTTTATCTGTCTAATTTCATTGAGCGACTCTCTTTTTGCTCCCAAGACACCCCATTGCATGCATAGCATTTCTGTCCTAATCTTGTTTTGGAGCTGAACAGTTGCTCCCCATAATGCAGTTGTCCCTTCCCATCCCTGCTAGTGAGTCAAAATGAATTCAAAAAGCAACCCTTCATAAAAATGTGACCATCCTTATGGATTTAAGTAAACCATGATATGCACAAAAATGAGGAATAACACGGCACACACAATCTTGCATGCATGCGCTCTGCATTACAGGAACATCTCCTGTGACTTATTAGTATTTTTCTGTTGCCTGTTAAATAAATAGTTAATACTGGTGCATTTTCTAAACTGATTGTAATTATAAGGTATGTATGAAAAATGCAGTGTATGTTCTTTAGAATTACAGTTCTGACAACCATGAATTTTTCTTTACCTTTTAATAGAAAATTCTGAAAACAGGTGCTCAGGCCCTGCTATTATTGTAGTACAAAATCAAAATGCATAACTTGTAAACCTCCTTGCAAGATGAGATTAAAATATATATTTATTTAGCAAAATGTAAATGTGCAAAAGTGATTTGTCTGTTGATGCCTATTTATTTTTCCAATCTACTATATGCTCTCTCCCATTTTCTTCCAGATATTAATATTGGTCTATACTGCTAATCATTTCATTAGCTGTTTGTGTACAGGAAGCAAATTCAATATAGGATGGACATGGACAAAGTCTACCATAAATTTTCAGCAATTTTCCACTTGTTACACTTTCAAGCAGATAATACAGATAAATGTCAATTTTAATGTACACTTATAATTCCTTGGCTAGCCGTCAGTTAAAATGACATTTAGACTCATTTGCCATATATAATCAGCAGGAGGAAGACAACTGTTGGGGCTTCTTGGTTGGGATCTGGATATGAATTTGAAAAACCTGACCTGAAAGTAAAAACTCTCATATATATGTATGCCTTGCGCATGTTAAGATGAACACTCATTATTTGTGCATGTCTAAATCAGACTGTGGTAAACAATTTCAACCATTATTGATTAAACGCTTACAGTTACCTCATAAATATATTTGTTGAAGAGTGATACTCTATATAGGCAAACACAGTTGTCCTTAGATTAAACCATGCTAGGAACAGTACAGTAAATATTGTGGAAAATTAAACTGATGACAGAATTTGATCTTAGGGATCAAAAGTTTAAAAGTTAACCTGTGATGAGATGAAAGACTGACATCCTGTATACTGTAGTTGTTGCCAAGTACATGTCTATGTGTCCAGCTGGTGGTAAAGAGGATATGTTTAGGATAAGACTTGAAAGTATGACAGTGCATGATAAACTCATTTTAACTCAAAGAAAAAGTGAGAGATCAAGTTAATTGCCATTCCTTTTTGATACCATTTTGTGTTTGACAGATGTTAGAAATACATTCTGACACCTTTGCTTTTTGTGGAGCTCTTTGAGATGTGAAGTGCTGAACTGTCAATCACACAGATATCTTTATTTTCAAGTTGGTGTGAGGCAGAAAGAAAAAAGGGGGCACTTTGGAGTGGAGCAGGCATCTTGCAGATTTGCTATAATTGATACCCAATGCCTTCTCTGCAACAGCATGAGTAAAATCTCTCTGATAGATCAGCATTTAAGCTATTTAAGCTTTGTCTCTGTCTTTTTATCTATTATTGCTGTATTATTGTTTTCCTTTTTTTCAGTCAATTACCTACATATACATGAAAGACCAGAGAAAGGGAGACCAATTGTCATGGTCATTTCTTTATAGCAACTGATTAATTTCTGTTTTGGGCTCCTAAAATGGTGCAGAAGATTTAAAAAAACAGTAATGGAACACTTGCTTTTTCACATGTGCCAGCAGTTGCTTCTCAGTGGGAATGTAAAAGGCTGGACTTTATTAGGATATTGTGGTAAAGTAGGTGCTAATAATGTTGGGACACTTCACGGGGACAGTTACTACAACAATAAACATTTATTGAACATAGTGGGGAGGCATTCAGAAATATATAATAAAAAATAAATAATCTAAAAAGGCCCTTCTCATTAAATGTATTAAATCAGTGTTTCTCAAACCTCTCCTGGAGTACCACTTGTCCTGCATGTTTTAGATCTCTCCCTGCTCCAACACAGCTGATTCAAATGATCAGTTTTTTGTTAAGCAGTTTCAGGAGTTCATAACGAGTTGATCATTTGAATCAGCTGTGTTGGAGCAGGAAGACATCTAAAACATGCAGGACAAGTGGTACTCCAGGAGAGGTTTGAGAAACGCTGTATTAAATCAAGCCCATTAAACCAAGAATGAAACATTTATTAATCAATGAACATGTAAAGAGAGTATGTGGTTGTAAGGTGCAGGGAGCTGAACTGTTTACTGTACATTCATACTCTTCATTTAAAAATAAAATTCAAAAGGACAAGTGAAACTTAAAATTCAAGACAATAAACCTTCATAAGCCGGATAAAGGTGCTCAGCAAGCAATCATTTTCGATATGGTCTGCTCATGATAGTATATGAACATTACAGTTACACTGGGAACACTTCAAAGGAAGTTTCATCCATTGTAATAATGAATACCTCTGAAAACACAAAACCAAAACACTTTTAGGTAGTAGTAGTACAGGCTGTAATAATAATAATAATAATAATAATAATAATAATAATAATAATAATAATATAGATGTTATATCTATAATAATATTACCGAGGCGCTCAAGGCAACATAATAATATTAATAACAATAATATTTTAGATTAATAACAATAATATTATAGATTTAGGACATCTCCAATAATAATATTGGAGATGTCCTAAAGGACAGCAGTTCAAGGACAGCTCAGGTCTTATGTCAATCGAAACTGCAGACTATAGTACAAAGGGCAACGTTTCTTTATCTGTGGAAAAGTCCATTGGCCATTTTGAATGAAGTTCATTCATAAGTAATTAGTCCTTGAAAAAGAACTGAAGATGAGATTTAAGAATGAGAGTAGAAAAAAAATCTTCAACAGAGCAGACCTCTCTTTCCATACTGTGCTGCACCGCATATGATGTGATATGATAATGCCTATTCACCAAAGGTACAAAGAAGAGAGAGAAGCTAATAAAATATTAATCAATATGAGATGCCACAAGATTACTGTTCTGTTGGGGCTTCTCTGAGAATTCCAACCAAAGAAATTTAATTTGGATGGATACAATTTTGCTCTTAACTTGCTCCTTCAGCACATTTATTATTATGACTGTATTATATGAATTATTTAAAGGACACTTGAGATGCACATTTTCACAATATGAAATGAAGGTGCATTTTCCACAGAGTTATCAGTATACTTCCAACAAAGTGGTTAAAAAACACAGGCAGACCATGGGGATTGGAATCTAATTATAAACTCATTTGAATGACACACACCCATATTCTGAAGCAGATAGATCACCAGAGAAGCCTCATCCTCACAAATATGAGCCAGATTTACTGTCACATAATTTTACTAGAACATAAAATAAGGAAAATACACATCACTTAGCAAGCAAAAAAAAAAGCACTCACAAAAGGGGTGTTTATCCACTGTCAGCAATAGAAACTGAAGGGGTACATGAATGGCATCATACATCAACACTAGAATTAACACATTAATTCTAAAATATCTCTTTATGCTTTTCCCCCTTTGAGGTGCTGATTGAATTCCAAACCTTTGGAGCTTTGAATTTCACCAATAGTGCCATATCCTTCGATTTTATTACAGAGCAATCTGCCCATGATAACCATATCCATCAAAGACGTTTTGATTCTTTTAAGTGATGGATTCTTAAATGCAAAATACAAATGTTAATGATTATGGAGTCAACAATGACCAAGAGCCCACAGCAACAGAACAAACTGGCTTTGTTCCACTGGGGATAGGGTTTAGCAGGTTGGCTGGTTTCCTATTCTCATCACTCTCAGGCATCCTACAAGCTTCTGTGATGACATCAGCAGAGAAGCATCTATCCTCTAATTGGCAACCACCTTACTGTGGTGCCATGTCTGAATCATACAGAAAGTGGTCATTGGTTGTGCACAAGTGGATTGGAGGACTGCATTTGTTTTCAGCCCTCCTGCATGCGTGAAATTGCAAGTGAGTCCAAAATAATTCTCGTAAAAGGGAATGCTTGAAGTTTGCAAACAGAATATTTGAACTGTGAATATAAGCCAGCTAGGAAGCTATTTTCCTATCTGCTATTAATGTTTGTAGTGCTGTCATGTTAATGTTAACGTTAAGCACGTCAGGCGACAAGCAGCATAAACTGATTTATTGGATTTATTAAAAATGCATTTTGCTTTTGGTGGCTATGGTGAAGGCAGATTACAAGTGGCCTGCACCTGGTAATATGGCATGCGTTTATGATCCTGGCCATATACTTTATATGTATAAAACAAAAACACTGCTTAATATGCCAAGTTTTGGCATCCTTGTGACAATCTA